ATCTATTCTAGAAGTTGTAGGTTGTTAAATTTCTTATCAATCTGCTATAAGAGGTTAAGTCTAGGTGATGTATAATTCATGTCTTTTGTGAATGAAAAGTAATTCCAGATTTCTATTTGTTTTCCAAGCTTTGCTTACTGCAATACTTTACATGGTATCATTCACTATTTGTTCCTGAGTTTGTCTCTGTGTACTGCGTTGTTTTCGTCACCATGGAGTTCTTGGCAGGGAAGACCTTCACAAACAAGAAGTTTAACATAATTCTTGATGAGTTCAACTTTCTTCTTTGGAAGCAGCAAGTTCTGCTGACCGTTCACAGTCATAGACTGGAGCGGTTGTTAACGGGAGTTGCCTCTCCTCCATCTGCAACAGTTGTAAACGAGCATGGTGATTTGGTGCCAAATGAGATGTATGAAGACTATGTTGCACAAGACAGTGCATTAGCATCTTGGTTTTTATCCACGATCAGCCCTCATTTGCTGTCTCAATTTATTGGAACGGAGACGGCAGCGGCGGTCTGGAGCACGGTCTTACAGTTCTTTGCGAACCGATCTACCACAACTGTTATCAGTCTCCATTACAAACTCCAATTGGTTAAAAAAGGCAATGACAACATACACACATATCTCACTCGCATCAAATAGGTTTGTGATGTATTAGATTCATGTGAAAGTGCGATTCCTCAAGCCCGAGAATGTTGCTAGCATATTAAAAGGTCTCCCTCGTGAATATCAACCATACATTGCATTCATCACCACCATGAAGGTTGCATTGTCTCTTGAAAAGATCTGCTCGATGTTGATCGATGCAGAAACGCAATTGGTTGGGTTTGATTCCCAAGAAGAGTCTCTTCCGATGAGTGCGCATATAGTGCAAGATGGCTTGAAGGCTGTTGGTCAGGGCTATCATGATCGCGGTTCTGGACGATCAAGATCTAGCAAGTCTGGTCGCGGTGGAGGACGTGGTCGTCCACGTGTTCAGTGTCAGCTGTGTGGCAAAAATGGTCACCTGGTTGTTGACTGTTGATATAAGTTTGATCAAACCTTCATTGATCGATCAACAGATCGTACAGTAGCTCGTGGCGAGTCAGGCTCTGCTAATTACTCTGGTGTTGAGATGATTTCTACTGGTGAGGATGATTGTGTATGCTGCACCAAATCTCGTACTGAGGCATAACTTTGTCATTCCTCACAGCCTCAACCGTGTGTTACTGCTACCACAAGGGATCACTGGGTGGTTGACTCTGGGGCTACGCATCATGTAACACCCGACTCAACCAACGTGTTTAATTAAAAGAATGTCTCTGGACCAGGTAATATTAATGTTGGCAGTGGTGATTCTCTTTCTATTAGAGCAATTGGTAAAACTGCTTTATGCTCTTCTTCTTCTCGAGCTTTGATGTTGAATGATTTGCTACATGTCCTAAGATAACTAAAAACCTTCTCTCGGTCTCGAAGCTTGCTAGGGACAATGAGGTCTATTTTGAATTTCATGCCTCTCATTGTTGCGTTCATGATGAAGGAAATGGTGAGGTGTTGATGCAAGGACAAGAGAATGATGATCTATATTTGTTTCAAGTAGATTCCATAAGTAATAAGAATGTTTCTGTTGAAGCCAATAGTGTTACTACTTCACATAATTTGTATGAACTATAGCATAGACGCCTTGGGAATCCTGCCCATGGAACACTTTCGCAAATTTGTAAATTACTTGATGTAAATGTTGAGCAAAGTATTAATGAGACCTGTGTTTCTTGTCATATGGGAAAGAGCCATAAACTTCCATTTTCTGATTCGTCCACTGTGTATGAGCTACCTTTTCAACTTGTATTTACAGATTTATGGGGGCCATCACCTGTTGTCTCTAATGGCTACAAGTATTATGTTAGTTTTGTGGATGCTTGTACTAGACACACGTGGTTATATCTTCTCAAGGATAAGTCCCAGGCTGCTTATGCTTTTAATATGTTTTATCAACTTGGGCTAAAGATTTTAGCTGTTTAGAGTGATTGAGGAGGTGAATATCATCATCTGTCTCGACTGCTTGCTGAAGCTGACATCTCTCATCGTATTACCTGTCCACACACCTCTGAACAGAACGGTGTTGTGGAACGCAAACATAGGCATGTTGTTGAGTTGGCGTTAGTCTTGCTTGCACAAGCATCCATGCCAACCAGTTTTTGGTCGTATGCAGTAGTTATGGTCGTACACTTGATAAATAGACTTCCTTCTAGGGTATTAGCTGGACGTTCAGCATTTGAGTGTATGTTCAAGAAGAAGCCGATTATGAATCATTCAGAGTGTTTGGGTGTAGATGTTTTCCTCATCTTAGACCATTCAATGCTCATAAGCTTGGTTTTCGATCTCAACCATGTACGTTCTTGGGTGTTAGCTCTCAACACAAAGGTTTTCTTTGTTTAACACCTGATAAGCGTGTTGTTATCTCTCACCATATGCAGTTTGATGAATGGCATTTTCCTTTTGCTACTGATAAGTCTACCAATCAGTCATCACTTGATATATCTTTGAGCAGGTCTTTCGATATTGTAATGGACACGACTAAGCTGCAGTCAGATAATGGTTCATTGCCAGCCATTTCTCAATTACCTGTAGATAATACGATTCTTAGATCTATACATTCAGGGTCAGATAATGAATATGTTGCTCTGCCTGACATTTCCAGTGTTAATCAAGAAGACCTTGAGGTTGCCATGGACACTCAGACAATGCCTGTATGTAATACGGGGACTGTAGTCAGTAATGCTCATCCAATGCTGACCCGTAGTAAACGTGGTGTGTTTAAGCCAAAGGTGTATACAATGTTTTTTAATGACGTTGTACCAACCATGATTCGAGAAGCACTTCATTCTGCTGCATGGATTGAAGTAGTACATGTTGAGTATTCAGTGTTACTTGAGAATGAAACCTGGGTGCTTGTGCCCTTGCCTGCTGATAGAAGTGTGGTAGGGTGCAAATAGCTCTTTAAGCTCAAACGGAATCATGATAGATCTGTGCTTAGGTACAAAGCTCGACTAGTTGCGAAAGGGTTTACACAAGTTCCTGGTATTGATGTTTAGAACATTTTAGTCCAGTTGTGAAATTCTCAACCGTTTATGTGCTTTTGACCATGGCTGTTGCTCGAGGCTGGGTCCTAAGGCAAGTTGATATTAATAATGCATTCTTAAATGGTACTCCATTGGTCTGTAAGTTGCAAAAGGCTCTTTATCGCCTTCGTCAAGCCCCACGCAATTGGAATGACTAACTTAAGGTCAGCATGTTGGACTTAGGGTTTATTGAATCCAAGGCAGACGTATCACTTTTTGTTAAACTTCAAGACGATAACTGTACGTATGCATTAGTATATGTCGATGACATTATAATAACAGGCACATCTGTTGATGTTGTAAATCAAGTAATTTGCATGCTTAGTTCTCGCTTCTCCCTTAAAGATCTAGGTGAATTGTCCTATTTTCTGGGAATTGAGGTTAAGAAGCTTGCTTCTAGTTTAATGTTGAGTCAACGGGCTTATATTTCTGATTTGTTGAAGAAAGCTCATATGAGTCAAGCAACACATGTTTGCACTCCAATGGTTGCTACTACAAAATCTGCTGATCAAAGCAGTGCTCTTCTAGCTAATGCTCTAGAGTATCGCAGCATTGTGGGAGCTATCTTGTATGTCTGTCATACTCGACCAGACATAGCGTTTGCAACCAATAAAGCGACTCAGTTCATGCAGTCTCCACGTGAAATACACTTGGTAGTTGTCAAACGCATCCTGCGTTATTTAGCAGGTACACTGGATTATGGGCTGGTGTTTTCGGACAGTGATGCCAGACTATGTCTTAAAGCCTTTTCTGATGCAGATTGGGTTGGTGATGCCACTGATCGTAGGTCTATGTCTGGGTATTGTGTCTTTCTTGGAGGCTGTTTGGTTGCATGGAATTCCAAGAAGCAGAAGACTGTCTCTCGATCGACGATGGAAGTTGAATACAGAAGTGTTGCTGATTCAGCTGCTGAGATTACTTGGCTTGTTGCTTTACTATGTGATCTTGGGTTGTCCTTGAGTGATGCACCTGTGATTTGGTGTGACAACACGAGTGTTGTTGCCTTGAGTATAAACCTCGTGTGTCATGCTCGATCCAAGCATGTTGAATTGGATGTGTATTTTGTTCGAGAAAATATTGCAGCTGGTCATCTTCGGGTTATTTATGTTCCTGTTGCGTTTCAAGTGGCTGATGGTCTCACCAAGCCACTCACTAGACCAGCGTTTGAGCAGTTTCGAGAAAAGTTGCGTGTAGTATCTTGTTAAGGAAGGGAAGGAAAAGAAGCGAGGAGAATGTTGAGATACATGAAGTAGTTGAGGGTGTTGTTCACGTGGTTTAGCAGTTAATGCATGACATTTATGAAGAAGTTGGATTATAACTAATTTGCATACGTGTCAAGGTTGTTAGGAATCTATTCTAGAAGTTGTAGGTTGTTAAATTTGTTATCAATATGCTACAAGAGGTTAAGTCTAGGTGATGTATAATTCGCATCTTTTGTGAATGAAAAGTAATTCCAGATTTCTGTTTGTTTTCCAAGCTTTGCTTGCTGCAATGCTTTACATTATCAATCACCACCTCTCTTATTGTACATCAACAATGCTATTATTATTTAATGAAAAATGATATGCTAGAATTGTGGTGTGTTTTTTATCGTTCTTTTGTGGTCCCATTATAGTATTAACAATAATGCTGTTATTGCATGAAATGATGTGCTAGAAATGTGTTTCGCTAAAAATATGTTTCGGAGAAAAAGTTATAGTATAATGTATTCATTCTAGAAAATTTTCTTTCAATGTAGCCCAACCTGTTGATTTCAGTGCTACAGCATCAGGTGAGATGATAGTTCCTTCAATTAATTGTTGGAAACTTTCAGGACTTGTGAGGCAAACTAAATTTTATTAGAAAATTGTTATAATATAACCATCTTATGCTACCGGCAACCAGGAATTTCAACTAATTGGTCGAAACAGAGGATAAGATACCACTCAATGCAATTGATGGTGAAACAGTTACAATTATTCCAGGTCCTCCTGCTAAATGGTATACATCCTTATGCATCAAATAAAATCACGTAAGATTATTCATCAGAAATCTAAAGCAAATAAAGAACCAGGCAATGTATAAATACCAGCAGCTGCATACACTAAGCAAAATTCATCTCAAGCTTAGGTTCCACGTACTTGGTTTCCTTTTGCAAACTTCCATTACCACTAGCAGAAGATTTAATTGCTTCAGAAACTTCTGCCTTCAACTCTTCATGCTTCTCCTTTAATTCCGAGGAGCTGATAGCTTCTGAAAGTCGTTGCTTAATCTGCTGTTCCAGAGCCTCGATCTTACTTTTTGACTGAATATCCTCTGCCTTTGCCATCTCCAGCTTCAATAACTCTATCATATTTTTCAACTCTGATGAATCGACAACATTTTGGATTTTCTTGTTGATTTCTTCATTCAAATTATCCACCTTGTCTTTGAAGATTGAAAGTGAAATTGAATTTGCATTAGATTTTATGGCCTCGACATTCAGACTCAAGGATTCGAGAGCATTAATCATTTCCAATTCTATCTCTTTCTTCAAGTTCAGAATTTTGTCCTTAAGCCCATGATCTAGATCTACAAAGCTGGATGAACCAGACTTTTGAACCTCAGCCTCTAATGCTTTAAGCTTCTCATTTATCTTGGGCCGACCCATGATTTCATTGAATTTCTTATTGACTTCCTGCTTCATTGTAACAGCCTTCGACTGACTCTTGGCTGTGGAAAGCTCCTTCAACATGTCAAGCTTATGTTTTAGGATCGTGTAATTTGGAGCCGCAGATAACTTCTGGTTGAGCTCATGTTTAAGCTTCTCAATCTTATCCATTAGACCAGGATTCATGAGTTGCTCCCTTGAATTTGCTTTTGAAACTTCTCCTCTTAGCATCTCAAGTCTGTCCTTAAAGCCCGTGTATTTAACGGCCTCAGAGTATTCGTGATAGACCTCCTTTTTCAATTTTTCAACCACGTTCTTCAGAGCCAACTCAGGTGGCTTGCTGGATGACTCCTTGGATTTCAAGATTTGCTGTTTCACTTTTTCAATCTCACCCTCCAACTCTGCATTTGAGGTTCTAGGTACAGTTTGTTCTTCTTTCTTTTTCATATGAACTTTCTTCTTGGGATCTAGAGGGATACCCTCTTGGAACCCACCCAGTTTCCTAAACTTATGTGTGCGATGCTTTAGTAGCTCTTCGGTGTCCATTGCCAAGAGCTCCTGCAGAGAAAATTTTGTTAATATGTAACAAAATTATTCTTGATGAAGAATATTAACGTTAGAGGAACTCACATCCATATTTTCATTGATCGCAGCTTTTATTTGTTGTGAAGTCCAAGCTGGACCTGCATGGGCACCACCCGGTGGTTCCTGTCACAAGAAAAATATAACTCTCAGATGCCATGAAAATTAACACGACTCCCGAAGGAAACAACAAATCTTAAGCATTATTTAAACAATTAAGCTGTACAAATGCTTTGAAAACCAAACATATTATTTCCATCAGACATATCAAAATATTAAAGACATAAATCACGCCTCAATATTGTAACAGGTTTTGCTTATAAAGCATGTGCTAAGGACAGCAGCACAATGGTGCTTTTAGCAGTTCAACACATGAAATTGCCTGTAGCAGGTTTAAGTTATCATGGTTTAGCAATGATTAGAAGTAAGGAGGAAAAAACAAGAAAAGGAAAGAAAAAGGTAAAAGCAAAAACAAAAGTATTTTACTGAAGATATTTGAGAAAGGATGTTTTAATTACAGGAATGATTCCATCACAAATTTGCAGCTTGCACAATTCTGGGGCAGTGATCCTCAGCTTCTCAGCTGCCTGCCAAGGAATATGTTCATTTATTATTATTAACAAAAAAAGGAATACTGAAAGATAAGACCAAAAAGCGACCACTGTTTTCAAACCTTTGGAGAAGCTTTAGCACTCTTCCACAAAATTGCAGCACATGCTTCTGGACTATACCATTAAAAAAATCAAATCAGAAAAATAGAATATCAGTGTGTATCTGCACATACGGACATAACATCTAAAAGTGATCAACATTTTCAAGGAATAATAGAAATCTTACCAAGGTACCATGAAGAAAAGTAAAGATTTGTCAAATAGCAATCTGGCACCTTGTTTGGGTATGGAAAGCCAGATTGTACATAGTTCATCAGCATTCAATGAAATCAATATCAAAAAACTAAAATCACCTGGCAACATAAAAGACTGCATTTTCCAGCATTAACAACTTGTTAGCACAGCCAATGGCCAAGGCACCACCAGAACCACCTTCCCCAATAACAATAGAAACAATTGGGACCTTCAGACCAAACATGGTCCTCAAATTATGGGCAATAGCTTCACCCTACATGAAATTAGAGCTTAAAAATCAGCTGAGCCAATGTTAAAAGTGATTATGGTAAGCTGCAGATAGTGATAGTGTTCGTACTTGACCCAACTCCTCAGACTTAAGGTCCGCATATGCCCCAGGAGTGTCAATAAAAGTAACTATAGGGAACCCATGGTGATCTGCATAATACATCATACGTAGAGCCTTCCTGTAGCTGTAAGCATTTCCTAAATATCAATAAAAAGTGACATAGATTCCCTCCCTCAAATAAAGTAAAATTTTCAAAAACCATCTGACATGTAAGTTTCATTAAACTTACCCGTGAGGCGTTGGCATTCCAAAGTTGCGCTGAATATTCTCTTTAGTATTTCTACCCTTTTGTTGACCAATAAACATGTACCTCCTACCATCAATTGTTCCTATACCAGTAACAACAGCTGGATCGTCATACCCTGCTCGATCTCCATGAAGCTCCACAAACTGGGCATATGAAACATTCGTGGCCACATACCAAATGTTAGAAATAAAGTTGTTGAGAATTGCAATATTTGATACTTGATGAGCATGTAACCACCAAACCTTATCAGTAATGTTAAATACATGATCGAGGAAAGTGGGTCTGTTAGGGTGCCGAGCAATGTTCACTCGTTGTATAGGAGTAAGATGTAGGTATAATTCCTTTAGAGCCTGAAATGATAGCAGAAAGGGTAAGAAGAATTAGAACTGAAACCACCAACGTCATGATCTGCGAATATCTTTCACAGAGCATCAACCACTTAAAATGCACTTAAAACTTGCAATTAGCACAAAGCTCAGGCACAAAAATTTAAACATGACAACAGCAAGCTTGACGCACAATTTCATATTACATTAATATTTTGGTAATTAAAAGAACATGAAACATTGACCAAGCCTTTTCCAAAACTGTGAATTAAGCTTCAAAATATGAAAGTAACATATCAGACTTGTGTCCCGGATTTCTACATCAGAACATCATATATTTTGGAGTTTAAGGCCACAGATATTCAAGCAATGATGCAATTGATCCATAATGGTTCATACTCTGGAACGAATGAATGAACCCAAAACTAAAACCATATACTATACTCAAATCCTAAATAACTAATATCGAATGCCGTAGCGAGTGCAACAGCAAAAGCTTTGATTGCAAACATGAAGAACAAAATTTCCAGGCTGCAAATAGAGCTTTGGCATAATTAAATTCAAACCCCATAAACAAATTCCAGAATTGCAACTTCACTCCATTAACAGCATGAACAGATACTGATTCGTAGCACTATGTAAACATATAACTCGGAAATTTAATTACTACATGGGAGCAACAAAAGAAGTCTCACAAGGTCTCAAACTTAAAACTCAAACCTGTTGGTATTTGTTCTCCAATGAAAGAATCTGATCACTGAAATCCAAACCAGTTTCATTTGCCATCTTCCTCACCTGCATTAAACAAGCACAACATTTGAAGCTAGCACGGGAATATTTTTATCAACTAAATCAACAATCACTAAAAATAAGGAGTTACATCAACAATCTTCCTCTCTAAATCAACAAGTGGCTTCTCAAACTCCAACGTAACAGGCTTTTGTTTCTCTTTCAGCGGCTTGAAATGAGAGAGATGAGTGAGGACTCCGCCTTTCACATTTGGATCCGGATCTGCAGGCCATGGGTATTCATGCTTCTTTACTTTCCTCAACTTTGCAGCTATAGTTACATCCCTCCTCTTCACCAAAAATCGTGTCCTTCCCAAGGTTTTAAGAGCGATGCCAGTCACGCCGTTAGAGGAGCTCCGAAGAAGATCCGAAGCTGAAGTTCCAATAAATGCAGCTGGAGAATACGATATCGAGGGCATCTCTCACTCCAAACTCTGATTTTTCCAGACTCTATAATCGAAATCCAAATTTTCTCAATCGAAAAACATCTTTTAAAGAATAATGCTAAATAAGTTAACAAGGGGAAAGTAAGAAAAAATGTAATTAAGTTCCTACTGTAGCTTCCTTCCGAGTAAACAGAATAACATTAGAGCTATGGTTTTCAATTAAAAGGAAAAAAATCTCCCTATTCATTCTTCTGATCACTTAGTTCACATGTATCTAAGCTGAATAAAAGCATTTTAAACTAAAAAAAATACAAACTTGAAACCTCATTTTCCTCCATTTTCTCAGCAGCCAAGCAGAAATATGAATCCGCATGAAATATATATATAAAGAGAAAAAAGAGGTAGAATTAATGGCAGATTTACCAGAGAATGAATGAAGCTGGCGGAGAGACAGAGAAGATCCGAGAAATCTAGGGCGAAAGAAAAGAGTTGGAAAAAGTAGGCAGGGTAATGAAATTATTAAAGGGGAGGAAAAGAGAATAGAGAGCTTCGTGGAGATCGTCAGTCCAATACTAAGGCCTTGTTTGGTATGTTTTCTAACTTTACAAAGAGAGTGGGTAGCGCGCTCTGTCGATACTTCTTATGCCGTACCCGAATTAAAAAGACACGTGTAACAGTATAAGGCCTAATATTCTATTTATTTCTTAATTTCTTCAATTTTTTAGGATAAACTACGTGATTAGTACTTAAACTTTCATGTTTGATCCGATTTAGTATCTAAACTTCTAGTTATTTTAAAATCATACTTAACATTTAATTTTTATTTCAATTTAATATCTCGTCGTTAATCTGACATGTTAATTTTTTAATATATTTTAAATCTCCGCGTCAAAATAAAATCAACACTTTTCTGCAGAGCTTGGGTATTAAACTTATTCCCTCTAGGGAGGTAATAAAGTCTTGGCCACTGCGCTAAGCAAGCTAATTGTTACTAATTTACCACAACCTGTATTTAATTTAAACTTCATTACCACCCCAAAACAAGATATTTCATTTTGTTATATAAGATCAATTTTATATTTAGTTTATATATTTGTTTAATTAAAGACTAAATTATATAAAAATATTAAATCATTAAAATAAACACTATTTTTTAACTTCATAAATATTCTATTAATTTAATATTAATTAAATAATATAAAATTGAAATTATTTATCATCAAAATATTTTTTTAATTTTAAATTTATATTATATCATAAATAAATATTTTAAATTTAAATTATTAAAATAGTTTAATATTAACTTTTTAAAAATATGTATTTAATTATCTTTATTCCAAAATAAAGTTAAAATAATTTATTTTTTAATTAAATAATTTGGTTTATAATGAAAAAGTTTTATATTTTTAAATAATTTAATTTTTAATTATAAAATATAAATTAAATATAAAGTTGATGGTATATGACCAATTTCATAGACTAGCATAATGGTTTGACACTAATTTTTTTAGTCCTAGTTTTAATTAAAATGTTTTGTTTAGTGATGTAATGGATTAACAATTAAATAAATGTTGTGGTGAATTTTGATACTAGATTAGTGCAGTGGCTAAACTTTTGATCCTTCACAATGAGGGCGTGGGTTCAAATTCCCTGGTGTGTACAACTTTGTTGGTTTCATTTCATAGGGTGATGTATCATCTTATTGGTTAAATAAAAATAATAAAAATATATTATTTGATTATTGATATTGTTATGTTTTTAACGGTAGATATTAAATTAAAACAAAAATTAAATATTAGGTACGATTTTAAAAATAATTGGAAGTTCAAGTAAATCGGATCAAACGTGAAAGTTTAGGCACTAATCTCTAGTTTATCTAATTTTTTATTAAATTCTTGGGCAAATTGCAAATTCCATCACAATCCTTTCTTCTTACTCCTATTTTGACCATTGAAATTTATTTTTTCCAATTTAATCACTAAACTTTTGAGTTTCTATTGTTTTGGCCTCTATGTTGTTAAATAGTTAATGGGATCATGACATGACAAAGACACCAAAACAACGTAATTTTAGAAAAGTCGAAATTTATTCTAAAACGATATCATTTTGAATCTATGTGAAATCTAATTTTTCTTTTTTTGTCATTTCCCCTCTTTTCTTCTTTTTCTTTCTCATTTATTTTATATCGTTGTTTGTTTCATCCAGCTACCATTAGTCATCATCAGCGATGGCCGATGAGTCCCAAAATTTCTCATTGGACTCATTTTGCCCTCTTGAACAAGAAATTGGTGTTCATTTAATCAACAAACACCTCAAACTCCATGAATCTAGTATCATCATTTCCCTTCTCTTAAGAAAATGTTATTTTCAATGACCTTTTTCATTATATGATTGAACCATCACTTGAATCAGACTCTAAGCCTTTAGAATCCAACCTTTTTAAGTTAAAATCATCCCATAATTGATATATAATCTTCATTGTAGGATCAATTTAGTTTCATGTTATGCTCTTCTTTTCGGCGTTTCTCAACCTTTAACCATTCAAATTTTTTAGGACTTTAATCATTCAAAAACTCAAAATTAAAAGAATGTGTTACTTGTTTCAATTTTATTGTCTCCGTTTTCCTCTTCTTTTTTCAATTTTACTTTTGCATTTTTTCTAATATGGTTTTGTTACTAGTTCGATTTAATTTATAGGTACGATAATAAGAGTGTAGTTTAGGTTGATTTAGGGCTCAACAAAACTAGAAAAAGAACATGAGTGGTTCAGTTTAGGGTTAATGGAGTTAGAAGAGAGTTGAGTCTAATAATGTGTATTGGTGTAGTTTAGGTTGGTTTAGGGTTCAATGAGACTAACAAGAAGAGTAGAGGTGGTTTCAGTTTAAGGGTTAAAAGAGAGACACATGTAGAGTTTGAGGTAAAAGTAAAATAAATTTGGGTTTCGACTTTCGGATGTGACAATAATATCAGTTTTATGATCGATATAAGATAATGGCCAAGAAAGAGGGTGGTAAGGTAATGGGCATTTAGGTAGGACAAGTGAGGATTGATGAGTGAAGTTTTGTTTGATGGTCGGTGTTAGGTTTTGCTTAAGTGAAGGGGTGAATGGTAGTAATTTCAGGTGAGAACGAGAGATTTTAATTTTTATTTTTAAATCATGTGTGGCACAAATACTAATGAGAGAATGATTAAATAAGAAAAATTTAAAAAAAAATAATGATTAAATTAAAAATATAATATTCAATAATAAAAGTAAGTGTGTGAATAACGCTAAGAGATGGAATTAGAGAATTATATTAAAAATTTTATTGTTATCTTAATTTAAAATTATATAATTATTTTAATATAATTAAATTTAAGATTTATCATTTTGGGATGAAGGATAGTTTTCAATTTTAAAATTTAAATGAATTAAAATAAATTTATTTTACAATTTAAGGTCATAAAAAATTTTATCTTCGTCCTTATAAATGTGATAGGTGATAAATAGTGTCATAAAAATATGGACAAAGCCAATAAAATTCTTGGGAAAACAAAATTACAAAATTGAATTATAAATTCTTATAAAATTTAAAATATAATTTTATTATTATAGTTATATTTAATCTTAAAATTTTAAATTTTATCATTTTAAAAGAGATAAAATATAATTTTTGTCATGTATTAATCTAAAATTTATTATAATTAAGGAGATTATTTAAAGGAACTATAGCCCATGGTAGCCCCTACCTTAACCATCAAAGAGATTCCCTCAAAGAGATTCCGACAACCTCTTTGGCGGGAACCGAAGTCAGCATCGAAGAGATTTGCTCATCGACTTCTTCTTGCCGCCATTTTAGTTGAAAGGTTTAAACTTTTTTGGTTATGAAGTCAACAATTTATAGCAGCTTTAAAATGCCAATTTCGTTTCTTTTGTTGTGAGCTCTTACAATTTACTGGTTTAATTGCATGTCCCAGAGGAAGCTATCCAACACACTTGAATTATGATAAATTGACAGTTTATCCAACACACTTGAATGCTTAAACATCAGGTAGTAGCATATACTGATTAGATTAGTTATGTATCATGTTGGCAATTGTTGGATGAGGTAGAGATACGGGAGTTGCTTATCAATCGTATCGGTCATCGATTCAGTTGGGGGAGTTATCCTGCTCGGACATGGAAGATCCATGCTGTTAAGGATTGAAATATTTATGTGGGAGTGGTAGTCAGAGAAACAGAAGCTTCCCGTGGTGGCAACATTGGTGGAAAGGATAAAGGTCCTGAACTTGGCCTTTGGGAATTTTATCTAAGATCACAATTCGCCGTTCTCTATGTACCTTGTAAGGAAACACGTACGAGTCAAGATTCCTCATGGTGAGACCCTTGAAAAATGTTGTAATGCTTCTGAAATGTTTATTTGCAGCTTGAAGGCTCTTAATTGTTAAATTTGTTTCCCCTTAGTTCCTTTTTGTTATCTCTTTCCTGTTATACTAATGCTTCTTGCTTCATTATTTATATGCCATAACAGTAATGCTTAGCTTTGATTTAATGTGTAAGAAAAAGATCTGCAGTTTGTGAAGGACAAGGAGATATTGCATGTCCTACGTTCAATGCAGACTGGAACCTGGATTTTATAAGCAAAACCAGATGTCCCTGTGCCCTGATTTCTATGGAAGAGGATTAATTGTTCACAGAGATGGATCAGACAATATGTGAGCACCGGTTGTCATATCGGATAAACCACATTTGCATTTTATCGTTAGACCTCAGCACAGTTTTTCATTTCTTTATGATCTCCCATTTCAAATCATCTTAGGTTAGTTTTGTGACCAAGGGCAATTTCTGGTCACAATAATTCTCTAGAGGATTCACTTTTAAGAAGTCCGTAGAGGCAGATCTCACCTGCTAGTTTGCAAATTAATTGACACTGTGCACACCGTACTTACATGTTAACGCTCATGCTTGCTTTGAGCATCTTAAAATATTATTCCAATGATACTCTTTGTTGTCAGGGTCGGCATAACAGGTGGTGCATCATCGGTTCCGGACAAGATTTTCCAACTCCCAGGAGTAACAGTGCACTCCAGCCTTTTTTTTCCTACTCTTTCTTCCTCTGCAAGTTCTCTTCTGATGTCATTGCAGACAGGGCTTCTATACCTCCTACTGCCAGGGTCATATGCGAAAGACATGATGTCTGTGGTGCCTGTTACACGAGTCACCATGTTTCATCATGGTAAATCTTTCGAGTTTCAGCTCCTACGTTGTCGGATTAAGCCGGGAGGTGTACTTGAAGGACTACAACCCTGCCAGGTTTTGCTGGGGCTTGTGTCCTAGCCTGGAATGGTTGAAGGTCTAGTAGTAACTACGCATATTCATTGTCCAACTTAAAAGGAGATGATTTCATCAAACATTCGAGAGTGACATTTTTGCATCGGTGTAAATTTATATTTTAAACATGCCCATGACATGAAAATATGCTAGAACCGTAGGAAGATTAGAATCTTAAGTTCTCTGGATTTCAACTGCCTTTGTTGTAAGCTAACAGCTGTTTACATTTGATATTATCGCAACTTCTACGTTAAAACATAT